TTCACGGTGGTTTAAATGAGAGTAATGGGGACCATGTGCATTGACTTACATGGTGGTTTCACGGTGGTTTAAATGAGAGTAATGGGGACCATGTGCATTGACTTACATGGTGGTTTCACGGTGGTTTAAATGAGAGTAATAGGGACCATGTGCATTGATTTACATGGTGGTTTCACGGTGGTTTAAATAGCCAGTACAACCAACATCGATTTTCAAAGTATTCGCTAAGTTTGTTCTCAGGGTGCATAGTGTCCTAACCCACATATTTTTCAAGTGTTCATATGCCTTTCGTTTCCAAGGACACCTTGCATGCCTGGATATCTTTGAAGACTCTCTTCAAAGCAGTCTCCTTGCAGACTGTTGCTCCAATGTTTCACGGTGGTTTAAATAGCCAGTACAACCAACATCGATTTTCAAAGTATTCGCTAAGTTTGTTCTCAGGGTGCATAGTGTCCTAACCCACATATTTTTCAAGTGTTCATATGCCTTTCGTTTCCAAGGACACCTTGCATGCCTGGATATCTTTGAAGACTCTCTTCAAAGCAGTCTCCTTGCAGACTGTTGCTCCAATTTTGGAAAGGACAGGAAGCCMCAAAAGACTACATTGTTACATTCACAGTTGATACTATTTGACAATGCATTTGGAGGTATATTATTTTGGRGTAAACACTGATGAAAATACGATTTTAACTTTCCACATTAACTTACTGCCGTATAACATGGAATCTGGAGTGTTGCAGATTGCATGCTCCTGAATTCCGGATTCCACAGGGCTTTCACAGGGACACACTGGATTTGATGTAAAGCATCCTAGGTTTTTGGGATTCCAGATTCCTCTTATTTCAGGTTCCATTTACATTTATGCCGTGGATTCCAAATTCAGTGTCTGGATTCCAGACTMCAGAGCTAACATTTTGTTGGATTCTATGTCATGGGGTGATATCTTATGAGAGTAGATGTCAAAGTCTACTTGTTTCAAAAAGTTTCAAAAGAAAATATATCAAGTAACAAATACAAAMGTTTTCATTGAATATTTCTCACATTTTATTGGTTTCCCATTTTGTAAAGAAATTTTACAGTAAGTTTGTCTAAGATGTTGCAATAAGCGGCAAGCAGCAAATTCCAAAACTCTGCATCGCAGGGAAGCATTTGGTTCCCATGAATTTCCATTTTTGGTCAGGACCCCCTGTTGAGTGATGGAATCGCCACTTGATAGTTGGTTAGTTTTCCAGATATCCCATAATGTTCTAACCAGAACAAGATACAGCATATGGCTAAATGGCAACTACTGTTGCAATGCATGATGGACTATTGTTGATAACCCTGAAACGGCGACGAAATACGAGATACACTATAAACGTCTAGATGTCGGCATAAAATCGTTATTGCTCGAGTTTGAAAACGGAAGTTTTAAATTTTACAATAGAAAAAACTTGAGATAATGTCTTAAGAAAATCAAATTTTTATTAGTGTATAAATTTGGTGCCATGGAAAACTRATCAAAGTTGATTCAGAAAGGTGGAGCTAAAACCTTTCGCGGTTTGAAACATTGTTGTCTAACCTTATCAACAACGATGTCATGGACGACAAGTTCGACGTCATGATTTCTCGTATTATGCCTCCTCGCTAATTTTGCCCTCCAGAAAGGGTACTACTATTATTTGTTGATAATTCCCAGCTTATATTTTCTCTGGTTTATAAATACATTTTCTTTTGGATCAAAACGTAAAACAAAAATAAATATCCGTTAACTTAGAGAAGAAAATGTTTATATATTCACGAAATTTAATCGATTGAACGATATCACGCATTAGGCGTGTTAAAATGTGAAAAACGAAAATAACACACCTCGAAATTTTAAAATTAGACAATACAATTATTATTGATATTCAAGTTTCATAGTTTCATAGGACTCGTTTCAAGTCTCTCCTCTTTTTTTCCAGGTTGCGCTTTGCAAATGATTCCCTCTTTGCTCAAGGCATTATCGGGGACATTTCAAGCTCCAATTTGAGGTCAGCCATGAAAAAAGTCTTACGTTTTACTTTCTTATTTATACTTTACTATTTTTATTCCATTAAATGAAATTATCATTAATTTATATACAATTGGAATGATAGTGAGATTATTTATAGAATCAAATTAATTGATGTTGAAAAAAGCTTCTTGTTAGGGCTTGATATTCGCTGACATTCTCCCTTCAAATGCAATCCATATGAAGTTTACATTGATTGCATCCTTAGTGCACCAAAATGAGAAGAAAAACGTCGTAAAATCGTACGGAGTTGTAAAGAAATAAGTTCGGCTGCCGTTACCCGCTTTTTTCCGACGATTTATGTCAAAGAATCGATCAAAGAACCAGCGTTTGCCGAAAGAGAAACGTAGTAAATTTCAAGCACATTTTCCCCTAGTGTATACATATTGCTCACAAATCTTAGTTTGCATATTGTTTCCTATTGCGTTTTCCTGTTGCTTTTTCATATTTATTCTATTGCGTTTACGCATTCGTTCYTCTTGCGTTTTCTATCACGTTTTATGGTATTGTATTTGTATGTTTGATACACGATGGCAGCTTCTCCGCCTCAAATCCCTTAATTCAATTATTTCGTATTATACCATAACCTATCATAGATAATCCAAAACGCATAGAAAACATCAATTGTAAATAAAATTTGTCCTTGTTTTAAGAAYTGGTTCTTCGCGTTCTTTTACTTTTTAATGACTCCTTTCATTTCCAAAGCATAACAAGCTTAAAAAATRTATTCAATTTACATTATTTATATTTCAGAAAGCCATGTCGTTTCAAGTTGTTTAGTTGTGCGTGTCAAATCTATATAAATGGCCATCAAAGCAAGTAATCTCACATATCTAGCGCTTTCAAAGCGCGATCTTGACCAAGCCTTATTATGGACCGAGAAAAACAATTCAGTGGAATCAAGGCTTCGATGATTACTATGATGAATGCAGCAAGAATTTTACCTTATTCGTACTTAGATTGTTCACGCTATACCCGTGAAATTAAATCTTAATATATTATTTTCGTCCTATTTGACTATAGTGCTAAAATTACTTGTTTCTAWATAAACTTCAACCTTTATTTCATGGGTATAGAGTAAACAAATCTAAATTTATTTCAGATCACAGAGATTACTTACTATATCAAGCTATATCGAACAGTATCATAAATATCTCTATCACAATGAGAATAGACGTCAATTAAATATACTCCAGCAGACCTCACTGCAACATTTCAATTATTTGGAAATCCTCGTGGACGAGGATAGTCTGGGTACAATCCCTCATTCCTCCGTTCGTTCCGTCAAAAAGAAAAACATCTTATGACGTCATCTTCCTAATTAAATAACTAATTATTAASGATTGATTAGCATTATTATAATTCAATACTCCTATTTTAATAAAATACACGTATTTGTGATTTTCGATTGACCCTGGCTTGTTGGTCGAAAAAAATTTGCTATAGTCCTCTCATCTCAAACAAGAGGAAGATATAAAAGTCGTAGGACAACAGCCTGGCTGAAAATTCATCGAAAGTAATAAACGAACAGGTTGACTGTAATCAGGTTGTTTGAAAAACGTTTTTTACATTGTATCCATCAGCCCAAAGTCGATAAAGAGACGAACTACACAGATTTGACCATCGTTTGTATTTGAAAAGTAATCCGTACATTCAAAACGTTTTTCATTATACAGCGGTTCTTCAAAAGCTATATACAAAAAGAGAACAAAAAGCCAGGGACAAACGTGCTTAGTGACTCTGATGTGGGACTAACGACAGGYAAATTAAYTTACCCAATAATGGTCGTCATGGTGAAAACTACATTTGAAACATTGTGTGAACGCATGTGRAAGTAGTTGCAAATCACGTGACCATACACTTGAAATGCAACTTACTTYGCATGCTGTAACTTGAATTAAAAAGTACATAACTCTAAACACAAACRATAACATAGAGAGAATAAATGGAAACMAAWTAATAAACGAGCTTGCATGAATGGGYCAACATTCTGAAAMTTTCACAACAGTCAGCTTTCGGAATTCAAGGTCATGACTGAATGATTTCTTTAAGTTTACAACAACTCTATATCGATCAAAATATAATCACACGAAAACTGAAATATGAAAAAGAAGTTATACACATATCAGGAAGCTAGTCACAYTCGTATCATTAGCCTCGACTTGAATCTTTCCGAAAGCATCCCACCTTCTTCCCCGTTGAAACCAGAACAAAGAGAAAAGAGAGAAATAGACAAGGAATGAACAACACAACACAAACGAACGAAAAATATACCATAAACCAAACGAACAAGTAAAAAATAAGCGAAAAGACTATAAACGAACTACAAAAACACACGAACAAAAACAAAAGAAACGGATAAACAACCATCTTCACCACAGTCACTAAGGCTACCATAGCAACAAGGCACAGTATACAAACCATAATGCACCGCCTGTCAATCATTGCCATGGCACATAGGAGTCAGTATAGAGTACATGGATTCTGCTCGTCGTCTCCACGACCACCTTTCTCCCTTCGYTCGGTCATTCTAAGCTGTCTGTCCAGTTCATGGAGCTTCTTTCTATGTTCTTTTATCTTCTGGAGTTCATCACTCTTCCCTTTGTTTGACATTTCCTTTTCGAGAAGGTCAGCCATGAGAAACAACTCTTCAGCAGCCTTGGCAGCACATCGCTGCTGTCTTACGTCAAGCTTTGCAAGTTGACGCTTGTCCTTTTGTACCTTTTCGCGCACTCGATGCAGCATTTCTGTTCTCGCTTCCAGTTCGGTTTCAATATGTTCCAGAGTCTCTTTGTGGACTGATTCAAACTCTGCAAGCTTTTTACGTTCATTTTCCAAGTTTTGATTAACTTGGCTTTTCCTTTTCTCAAGTTCCTGCACGGCTTCGCCTATCGTCAACTCAGCCATTTCTTGTTGTTCCTTGTGCTTCTTTTCCAGTTCCAGGAGACGGACTTTCTCCTTGCGAATCAAACTCTGTTCGGCTTCCCTTTCGTTCTCAAGTTCCTCAAGTTCTTCTTCGTTGAGCGTTTCTTTCTCCGCTTGCTGCAGTGCCTGGTTGTGCTGTCGTTCCAGGAGGGCAATCCTCTTTCGCTGCCTGTATATCAACTTCTTTCTCTCTCGGCTCTCAAAGTCAAGATCTTCACAACGTCTTTCGATTTCTTGTTCAGATTCAATGAGTGGACCAAGTTCGTTACGAACCAGACACTCAACTTTACTTCTAAGCGGAACTAGAATTAATTTCTCACTTTCTAGGTGCTTTTCGAGTTTTGTTTTCGTTTCGGTGACCATGGTTGTGGCTTTTTGGAGGGCAGTTTGGTGTTTTGAGTAAAGCTCGTTCAGTATCTTTCTCTCCTCCCGGATGTCTTTAATTTCTTCTCGAGTTTCCCACTCAAGGAGTTCTTTCTTCTTGGTAAAGTCTTCCTCGGTAAGGTCAATATTTTTGTCTTCGTGTTCCAGCTCCTCTAGCTTTCGCCTTGCTTCCTCCACTTTATGCCGGGCCGCTCTTCGCTCCATTATCATCTTCTCTTTCTCAATCAACTCTGCCTCTTCCGCTTCCTCTTCATGGTCAATGATCTCCCTCAAGTCCCTCATTTTTGCGACTTGTTGATCATGGATGTGCTTGTGCTTTGCTTGGACCTCTTCAAGTTTTTGCCACTGAATTTCAATCGCTGACTTCCCAGTGGTGAGACTTCTAAGGCCTTCTAAAGCTTCCTGTTCTGCTTTKCGAACATCTTCCTTGGCTTCGGCAACTTCTTTCTGTGCGAGTTTTCGCTGCTCTTCGTATTCAGCCTCTAACTCTCTTAGACGTGCTCTTAAGAACTCAATATGGGGTTTCTCGCCAGGAAGAACATCCAAACACTCCGCAACCTCTGCAGAGCTTCTGTGTAGGGTTTCAGAGCTGCCAGATTGCCWGCTTGGGCTCCGTCGCCCAGGAGAAGGACTGCTGCTACTTGCACTGTTCTGGTCAGTATTAAGTCTCATCTGTTTCTCCACTTGTTCAACTTCTCTTCTCTTTATGTCTATTTCTTCTTGTAGAGCTTTGACTTGTTCTCTCTGCTCCTCCACATGTCGTCGTTCTTCCAACCATTTCTTTTCAAGAGCCTCCTTCATTTTGTTCATCTCGATTTCTTTGGCATGGACCGTCTTTCGGTGTTCTTCTTCCAGGGCAAGAAGACGCTGCATTTCAGATTCTAGCCTCTTTCKTTCTTCCTCTTGTTCCTTCTTGATTCGCTCTTTGACTTCTCTGATTTCAGCTTCAGCTCGCTGCCGTGCGTTTTCCTGTTCAATTCGAAGATCTTCCAGGTATTTCTTTTGTTTTTCGAGTTGAAGCTGGTTTTCTTTCATAAGTCGTTGRCGTTCTTCTTCTTCGACTGACCTTGTTTCTTCAGCCTTTTCTTGTTGTTCTTTAAGGAACTCGAGTTCTTGTCTACAAATAATGACAGCAAAGTGTTACTATTACCACGCAAAACTAATTTCTCCTATCCTCTACTAACTCAGCTCAAAACAGATATGGATTAAATATGAACTGACGTTCTTTCTTCATTAACAATAAATTATAATAAGTTAAATACCATAAAGAACAAAGAAAATCATAAGAATGATCGCAATATCGACAAGAGATACGAAATTACAGATATTCTCTTTGAAAAACTGCATTTCATGTGGACGTTTTTAGCAAAACATGCTTTTAGTTATTGTTGGAGTTCGATAAGGAATATACCATATTGGCATCCGATCTGCATGACGTTTGAAAAAGCTTGCCTGCTGCTTTAAGTTTCCACAGATCCCCTGCCCATATTGTATAGAATACCGACAATAGATATTACAGTGAACAAAATTAATTTCAAACCTCGCTTCCTCGAGTTTCCTTGCTGCTTCAACTTGCTGTCTTTCTAGTTCAAGCCTGAGAAAAAAAAAACAATGTTTACATTTTTATAAGAATTACGACTTTCATTGAAAAAAAAAAAAAGTTTTAAACCATTAATAAGCATACACCTGTTTAAGGTCGTTGTTGATTCAAATAGTGCACATCATCGAAGATAAGACCGAAGTGAACATTGTGTACTCATAAATTTGAGTCATTTTGGCTAAAAACATGTACGATCTTAACGTTCTTCTTGAGGAGGTCATTGTTATGTAGTTCAGCCAGCTTGTGGAAACTGAAACACGGCTATGTTTATGCTTGCTTGTCCTCCCATGTTCCTTTTCGGTCATAGCTTTGGAAATGACCGCGTAAAACTTACTTTTTCTGTTCGATAAGCTGGGTTTCTTCTCTGTATTGACGCTCTAGCTCTAGACTAAATTGTAAAGATAAAAGGAAAAAAGAAACATCAATGAACTTTTCCCGAGTAATTGTTATCGATTTCTCTTTTACTATGTTGTTTTCATTTTTCCCTTTGTTTGCTTGATGATTTTGTTATTTGATATTAAATTATATAATGTTTTCTTGGCGTTATTGTTTCCATTGCTGAATGCATCTTTGTGTCCTCATATCTTGACACATGATTTTGTTTGGTAGCAAAACTCAAATTGCTTTGTACCATAAAGTGGCGTTGTTGATATATATATATACATTTCCTTGTAATTCTTTAAGCATTTCTTTTAAAAGGAATCAAAGATTCTCACCCTGCATTGTAGAACAGGTAAGATGGGGTTCTTTCGGACTCAGTTCCAATGTCTGCAAGATTTTCCATTGATTCAAACTAAAGAAAAATCACAGTTAGTTCATATTGGCCCTCGACAGTAAGGTTGAGATTCAGATGTTTGGAGAGTATATTCTCATGTGTGRCACATTTTGTCTACCGCATCCACTTTCTTCCAGCCTCAAATGTAAGRCACACTACGCAGAAGAAAATCCTTGATCTACAATTGCTCTCACATGAGCTATTTCGGTAATTATAGCATGTTGGACCGGAGATCTACCTACAAAGTGCCCCGCATCCAAAAAGTGTAACTTCACTGCTTTGCTGTGACAATACTTACAAGTCTTTGCTTTCGAAGTTTTGCTGCCTCCTGAGGATGGTTAAAACGAAACATGTTTGTCTTGCCCAAGAGTATGACATCGCCTGAAAAATATATCATCAAATTAAGACTTAAGGTCTATTGGACTATTTAARCTGAAACAAAATACGAACAATATAATATGTTCACTGATGTAGTTAGCTACTGGGAYYAGCCTGTAAGCTTTTGCTTTATGAAAAGACAGTACACGTAATAAAGCAGAAAAAAAATGAAAACCAAAGGACATAAACGTGCAAGGAGACACAATAATTYTTTTTTGGTCATGTATCAGTCGAATTGCGCGCTCCGAATGACTTGCGTGGGGTCCGGTATTTCACGTTGTGCCGGGTCCGTACACACRTCAAGACTATTTTCTACTGATCTCCATGACGGTATATAAATAACACATATGTATRTAAGAAAATCACCAATCCACATACCTTGGCTCAACCGCTTTGGTTTRGTCAAATTCTGTCCGTTAAGTTGACAGCCATCACACAGTGGATGCATGATCACATTACCATCGATACTCTCCATGATACACGTCTCATCGTCAATTCCTGGACCACTGAGCACTAAAACACACACAATAATAGTAAGAACATGCTCGCCCAACACACATTTCYATTTCAATAGGGAATACAGTCCGCATAAGATGTTATTGCTTTTACGAGCATAAAATGAGTTGTGCTGTTTCTACATAGCCTGCTTTCAGTCGAACAAAAACTTTTACGTAACAACAGTTTTGGTYTGGCTCAACGCAGTCTATTTCTACATAAAAGGCATAAAAGCGTCTTTTAGGGAGATTTTGTAAGGATTTTTTTCGGCTCTACTTAATTCATCGCAGATTGTAGCCATTATAGTGTTACCTATTTCTGGCGTTGTGTTGGCTCCTTCTTTGCCCATATATGTCATTCCATCCTAGAAAAATATCCATCAAATAAATAACCGCAATGCATGGGACAAGCAGTAAATATTGTAACTCATACATGCAGCTATGTACATGTAGTTTATATTAGCCTGCGTAGTGGCCCTTAAAGGTTGGGATGGCCGAGCGTAGAATGGGTTACCGTCTACCCATGCTTGACCATCCCCAATCCCATTAGCTTAAGAGAGTTTAAGAGAGTCAAAGATACACGTAGCCAGCTATAAAGTACTGTGATCTGTGTATGTTAATAATTTGAAGACCGAAAAACGAGAAAGTAACTCGTATTTACTTTTAGATCCTTTTATCTTTTATATCCTATACAAGGGACCATCGTTCAAACATAAGTACCGTTAATTTTTTCTCCTATCAAGGTTTATATCTTTCTWTATATTACAACTATTCTAAAACATTGGACTACATAGGGTCATCCAAATGTTAGTGTATTAGTTTTTCTTACCTTTAAATGGTAGAGTGTGATTCCTGTACTCAATACATCGTCATCGATACACACCAAATGTGGTAGTTCAGACTCCATCTTTACTCCTGCTCCTTCGTATCGAAACCCAAGTGCTCGCTCCTAGAATAAACGAAGTGTGGGAATTACATAATAATAGCGAGCAGAAAATGAAAAGAGGAAAAATGAGATGAATGGTTGAATCCAAAGACAAGGGGGAGCCAGAAAGGATAACACCCAAAAAGTTAGAATGTGAGTGTGGAAGTAATGGTGCAGAAAGGCAAWAGTTAAGCAGCGAGGATGGATGCAGGATAGAAACAAGACAAAGAGCAAAGAAAGTAAAAGTAAAAACTATATCCTAAGAAGTAAAACAGTAGTAAGAATGCACGGGGGCAGGAATAGGGAGAAGAAGAAAAGAATAATATCAAATAAGGAGAAAAAACACGGATTTCATGKTTTTTTATTCGTCATAGTATTTTACACAAGTGGAAAATGTGAGCAGAGGAAGAGATGGGAAAACAGGGAAGGAAAAAGGGAGAAAGGGAGAATAATAGATAAGCAATAATAATAGCAATGATAGACGGAAGGTATATTAATTTACCTCTATAATCTTCTGTGTTTCTCGCCATTTACTTGTCCAGTTCTTGGTGAGTTCCTCTACCTTAGCTTCATTTTGATGCAGCTGTTCATTGATACTGTTTTTCTCTGCTTCACCAATTGATACATCCAGACCATTCTGTTGAACATGCAAAACACTATATCACGAATATATTTCACTTTTATACGATTCCATACAGCTACTAAGGCTGCCCCACCCATCCTCCCCTATTCCACCTCTGCACACAAACCAAATCTTACTGTTGAAGTATATTTGCCTATCATATTCGCAAGTGTATTTGTTACTGCTGTTATTGCAGTTTTGCTGTAATGTTGATTTTGCTCTTTGCAACTGTTCTGCTGTTATTTCTGTAGCAGATGTTGTAGTTGTTACCATTGCTGATGGTTAGGTTGTCAGTGTGGTGGATGCAATGTTGACATTTCTTATGGTGGTGATATTGATTTGTCAAGTGTTGTTGTTGGTAGTGTTGTTTTTGTTACCACTGTTGTTGCTGAAACTATTGGTGTTTGTTGCTAAGATCATGCTAAGACATGTTGGTATCACGACTAAACATGCATGTACATGTATATACAACAGTTTGCTGAAGAAGGCCGAAGTGCCGAAACGTTCAATAAAAAGTAGAAAACCTAGTTTCAAGTTGCGTGGCTTTTTCTTCATTTATTCTATGTATATACAACTGTAGATATACATAATATAACAGCTATGTCCTTACATGTAGAATGTATTTTGCAGCAAATACTAACAATAATTATATGTATAATTCTATGTAATCATTCTAGTCGTTGTAAATGCTACAATTTTGTTTGTTGACTTCATACTTACATCAACTCTGTCCTTTAAAAGAACTTTGAGTCTATCAATTTCAGCTCTCAACTCTCTGATAAGTTTGACATTAGGATCCTAACAAAATAAAAACAGTCCACAATTTATGAAATGCCAATGTACACATATTGGTCACATAATAATGCTCATTAAATTCTGTTTACTTTTTGTAGCAAATGATACAAAATAATCATGTGTGTGATCTTCTTTGGGTTTATAAATACGGTTGCTCTTAAATTTGGTAATATGCAACAAGACAATAGTGTTAAAGCCCTGGATTCAGAGAGAAATACAATATGTACACCAACATGAACCTGGCTAATTACCTCATTGACTGTTGGTTTGTTGATAATATTCTTTGCTCTGTTTGCATATCTTAGTGTACTTAGTGTTTCTGAGTAGTTCACATCTGCTGGTGAAATGGCTGAAAAACAATATGACTCGGTTAATACAGCTGAACCTTCTCTGTTTTCCTCTTCAATTCAAAAACACAATATGCAATCATGACAAGTTAAAGAATGTTAACCAGTTTTTACTAATATAAAATTCTGGTTAAGTTTTTTTACAAAATTTAGGTTGATATCCTGCTTGCAGSTGATTCAGAACCAATTGTTAGTTTGGTGGCCAGCATGCAAGCTATAGGCAGTGAATGACTTCATTATGCATTTTTACCAAAACTACAACTTTAGTGAACCTTGTACCATAACACAGAGAGGCACAAATAAAATTCAACTGCACTTTGAGTCCAGATTTAAGCTTTCTGTATTTAATTTTTCTCTACATCATAAACAGCTTTTTGAAGTTAAGGGTTTGACTGTACATTGAATAATACAAACATCCTCCGAAAGACAGTTTCCTTACCTGCAATCATGATAGTTTTAGCATTGCCTCCTAAGCTGTCTTTAAGAAGCCATGTCAGTACAGAGTTTCTGTATGGAATGAAGAACTTTTTCTTGGAATCTTTGCTACTTACACTTCCCTCAGAGGCCTCAGCTAAAATACAAATAATCCAATGGCATGTTTAGAAAGGTGGATATAATCAAGAGGTAGGGTAAGCACATGATGTATATGATTGTATGATAAAGAGGTGGTGGGAAATGCAGAATGTTTAAGACAGAGAAGGAGTGGTGTATAGGAAACTAAGCAAAATTCACATGAGTGTGCAAGAACAAAGGATCTTTCATGCTGTGAATATTTCCTGTACTCAAATTGTTATGATCGTTTCTTAATGTTTTCATTGGCATTTACACTGTATACCAACAAGGTTGAGCGACCTTGCTTTTGGATTTTGATGCAGCTCATACAAAATCTAATGAACATCAATCAACACTGTGGTCCCAGGGTACAATTCTCATTCCTACCCACTTTGTGATTTGACTTTGTTTTGATGGTTCCCTCAGTCGAGAAGAATTATGAGCTTTACTCCTGCTACTGTGACTTTACTCCCTCAAGAAAATGAAATTGCCTGGCTTTGGAAAAATGCAGCCAGTACAATAAACAAGACAGATGARCATGACCATGGAAAGCTTACCAAGGCTGGATATGACAGTGCCAAGTGTTACCAGTGATTTATTGATGTTGGCACCTTCCTTTAACCTGCTTCCTGTTGCACCAGTGGAGTTTGCTCGTTCACTAATATCAAAGATTTTAGATTATTATTAACAATCATAATACCATAGCTCTACCGCTTACGCCAATTACCATCAATACTTACCTTCCAGCCAAATCTACTAGATGAATCTTACTGAGAGTTTCACTTGGCATATCAGCATGGAATTTGGCCTGGTAAAAAATCATTAAAACATATCATTAGCAATGAACATGAATGGCTTCAGCAAATTAATACTTGCGTTATTTATTGTTATCAGATCAATTTCCTTTTAATTACTTTATTCAAAGCCTATGGCTTCACCAATTTACACAGAACATTGGTATATTAATAATCTGTAATATCATTCTATAACTCATTCAATAACAGATAAGTATTACAGTAAGTCACAAATGATTTAATTTATTGATCAATTAATCAGAACAACCAATCCAATGAACATTTGCCAATCCAATCCCTAAGTTAAATGCACATTATAGTTATTCGACAATTTAACCAGCCAATACTGATCAGCCAATCAAACAATGTGCCAGTATTTTATGAGTCAGACTATAGCTCTATTTTATCCCTAAAAACTGTATTATCTGACAACATACTCTCTTGTTCAAAAATCATACTAGAAACAAAAGAAATAATGCAGCAATGCYGACAGATTCATGAATACAGCGTAGTATTGCATCCACATAATAGATCAACAAGATACAATAAACTTGAGTCAATATGCATATAAATCTTTCAGAGTATTGGATGTTCTTCCTGTATTTCAATTTGCTGATGGTTAACACACCTGAGTAAAATTAATGGTGAAAATGGCATGTGATCTACTGCTGACATCATTCATGTTTGTTGATGCTACAGTTCTAAAAAGATATAATCATGACAAGTTACAGTGTAGCACACTAATAGTTAATATCTGAAAATGATATCAATAAATGCTGCCACAACATTTAATGTTACCTGTTGTTGTTGCCTGATGACATCAACTGTTCAATGCCGTCATAGTCAGATACAAGATGACTGGTCAGGTCTAAGAATAACAGCATTTTAAAGATTTAGTGCAAGGAATATTAAAATTACACACATCAGATTACACATGTATGTAATCTAACATACACCAGGAGTGTAACCTATTTTTAGTTTTAAAAAAAGTGCATTTTATATTTACATGTGTGGACAATTGTTACAATATTTCTGTATTTCAATCAGAAATTTGTTCTTTTTTGTGTGTTTTTGTTTAGTTTGTTGTTGTCTTATTGCTGTTTTTGTTTTGTATTGTGACTTTGTTTATATTAATTGCTTAGATTTTGCATATCCTTAGATGCAATCTGTTGCTTGAGTTGTACTCATTTATCTCTTTTTGATCAACCCTACCTTGGACATATGGTCCTTCCTTTGGATGTTCCCTTACTTTAAGACTGAAATGGTCCTTCCCTTTGGAGGGTTGCAGAAGATCTCGTACCTTTTCATTGTAAATTTCAAGGTAACTATAAACAATCAAAGCATTTAAGTCATCAGTTAGATTGACCCTAAAAAAAATCATTTTCCATGCTTTAGAAAAAATACAATGAAAAGTGTTCATACCTGACTTGCGTTCGGAATTCTGTCTTGTCATCAGTACATGATTCCATGCGTGCATACAGCCCCTATAGAAGAACACAATCAGTAGTACATGAAATATTATTAATAGAGAAAGATATTCAGAACTGAATTATCAACAATCACTCACTTGACATATTCTAGGAATGAGACCTGGAGCTTCCTGAAATGATTAACAACAAAAAGACTTCATTATGAATTTGAAGGGAAAAAAAATGCTTTAGAATTCAGATTAATTGATGAATTGTTTGACAAACTGACTGAGGGACTGATAAACTGATTAGATAGCATAATGATTGAATGGTTTATTGACTGACTAACTGATTGTGTGATTGATTTTTCGATCATTTATTTTCAGTCATTGCCCGTTCCGAAATTCAAAAGGAGACTGGGAACGAGTATGAAAATAGTCACTTATCGAAAAAATTAATCTCACCACATGAAAGACCACACTACAATATTATGTCAGGCATGAATACATTAAGGTTGACTTAGACGGCAAAATGTCTGGTTTGCCGTCTGACTTAGACGCCAAAGCGTCTAGTTTACT